GTATTCTACACTCGGCTGTTCTGACTGAGTTGTTGTCTCCACCGCTCGCTCTCCTCTTCCTCATCCTTCGACGCATCTTTAGTGCCATCGCCGTCGTCAATCCATGGCTTCATGTAATCTGCAGCCAATGATGTCTGAAGAGAGTCTCTCATGAGAGTCTCGCCAACTCGGCGCATCACATAATGATGGCTGCGCTTTGACAACCTCGTAGAACTGAAGTATTTATGCACGAATTTAAGTCTAGGACTCTTTTGCTTGCGTTTAATTACCACAAGATCTCCTGCGCGATAAATAGAAGACTCCTTTCTTTTCTTATCAATTATTAATTTATTTTATTTTCTCTCTGAGTCCTCTTTATACTTTCCTTAACCTGCTTCACGATCATTATTGAACGAAGAAATTAATTCGTCCTGAAAAAGCTCTCTAATATCGGGATTATCTCGTATGCGCGGATACACATCGAGAAGTATGCGAAGAGCATCAGCTGATGTTCGATGCTCTCCGATCGATAGCCTCGAATTCCTTTGACGTGAATGCAGTGCTGTTATTCGAGATTCTCTTCCGGATTACCGGAATACAAACGACTGTCTTTTCAATTGTTCGATCGCATCCATCGCACTCGTCGATCTATATATAGTTGTATACAACCAAACGAATTTCGAGAATCCATCCATCACAACAAAGATGTGAATATAACTCTTTTTAGTTGATGGGATTCTAGAAAATCAATTTGAAAAATCCAGCGGCACATTGCCCTTCTTCATTGTCCTTCAATTGAACTCTAAAAACATTCGGACCTTCCATGTTTTTGCTAGACCAAGCAATACAATTTTTCACCACCTTCTCAACTTTAGCACGTAGACTAGAAATCCAATAGTCTCTTTAACAATGCCTCTGCCTTAGTCATTCCGAAATGTCTTCACTCATGAGCTCTTCTAATTATCTGTCACAATCCTCCGAACAACAACGCAAAAATTGCCATCAGTCTTTCGATACAGGACTCCATCTATAATCACGTAGTTATTTGGTTCTCCTCACTCAATTGCATCGAAAATTTTTTGCAACTCGCCGTCCTCTCTTTGCGCTCTTCTCAGTCGCGCTAGCAACCCCTCATCGCATTCACTTGTTATTAGACAATGGATTTCTACTAAAACCGTTTACGTGAATCATATTCCTATCCGGCCTATGTTCTATCGTATATCGGAATTTTTTTAATAGCAATGTCGGGTCATCTCACTCGCACGCAAAGATCTTTCTTTGACATTGTCAAAGTAAATGCTTGGCAGTCTGTTACAATTTTAAAGTCTATTCCTAAATAAACACGAAAACGTTTGAGTGTTTTAATTATCGCGAGAACCAACTCATATCTCGTATACTTCTCCTCAGCCGGAGTTGTTTTTCCACTCGCATAATATGCAGGATGGAATAATCGATTTTCGTCGGTTCTCTGCAAAAGAATCGCCGTATGTATAGATACGTCCGTGTGCAAAAGTAACACGATACTGAGTAACAGTCACACAATATAATCTGTAGACGTTCGAATGCGGTTCGCTTGGTTACATTAAAACTCTATGTTGGGCCGCAACAAATTCGACAATGGGCGCGCAATCACTATATTCAGCGATAAATTTGCGAAAATAACCGCTCAGACTTAAAAAAGATTGCATTTGCCATATATTTCGGGGCTCGGGAAAACGCGCGACAGCCTTAATCTTTTGCTCGGACGGTCGCACCGTCCCGCGCTCAATCACATATCCTAGAAAATCGACCTTCCGTTGTAAAAAACAACACTTTTTCCAATTTATGATTAGTCCAACTCGACTAGCCATCTCTAAAACTTCATCAATCCGTCGCTCTCCTTTGAAAGTGCAATTAAATCGTCCATATAGATTAATACAATCTTTTGTTTTACCAAGTCTCTAAAAACCATTGACGAATCTCTGGAAAACAGACGGAGAGTTACACAAAAGACCCTAAGAAACTCGAATTGACCAATGACGGAAAAAATAAATGATGTATATTTTACGCTCGCTGCGTCCATACGCACATGAGAAATATCTTTTTTATGTCGAGTGTGCTAAAGACCTTTGCATCCTGCAGCTGCTCTAATTAATCCTCGATTAGGAGAAGTGGATAGCGATCTTTACTTATTTTTCTATTTAATGTTCGATAATCTACAAATAATCGAGAGGGGACTAGGGAGACACAAAATCAGAGATCGATGGTCAGACTATACCTTGCTCTTCCCATTTGTTAATCTGAGAATTAACAGTCTCTGTCTCGGCCTGTGACAACCGTCTCGCTTGTTGCTATATCATTTCGTCATCCTTTAAAATAATTGACATTTTGTATCGATTTTTTGTGTGTTACTTAGCTAATAATTTTCAATCAAGTTTATTATAGCATTTCTGTGTTTTCGACATCCTGCATGCCCATGCGACATGTCAGTCACGCTTGTATTCTGTACGTCAATCGCAAATATTTCCGGCCGCGTCTCATCGTCAACGATCTGTTCGTAAATAGGAATAATCGAAATTATCTCGTTTAAAATTAACTTTCACTGTACTTAGAAAATCCGCGCCGATAAGTAATTCGTATTGTAAAACAGTATCTGGGACGATCTGAATAAGTATCGAACAAATGTGATCATGATCTACGTTCGAAATTCTTGGGAAGCCGACGCACGAAAACCTTCCACTCCATAAAACTCTGTCGCTAAGGTTCGTAATCTCGGCGATCCTATCATCGCGTACTCGCTAGTTCGCACTATTGATATATCGCTTTCCATGTCTATCAGTGCGGTAATAACTCGATCGCCTAGTACATCTTTCGTATATCTTTTGCGATTTATATTTGAAACCGACGCAACATTTTTTTCTGCTGTATTATCCTTTTTGGAGCAGTTTGATGCGATGTGTCTGCGACATTCGAAACATTTAGTACCGAGAATCTTTGTTGGATAATTCACATTAAGATGTTCTCGGGAACCGCAGTTAAAGCAACGCTTATCATCTGCTGCTCTTCCCTTACCATCACTCCTACCATCATTCTTCTCATCGATCGCGCCGATTCGCTCATACCGCCCGCCCCCACCAATTCACCGTTTCGCACATTCTATTGACTCGAACCGATCACTCCCCGATCTCGCAGCATTATCCTGTCGAATGCTTTTAGGAGAATCGATTGAAGTAAATCTCTAAATGCGCGTCTAGTCACGACGTTCAAAATATCATCCACGATGTGCTTAAACAACTCGTCCTCAATTCCCAAATAACACGAAGTTGACTAAAAGTCGACTATAAGTTGACTAGAGAAGTCAAGAGTCGATTTCAAAGTCAGCCCGAATAAATGAAGATGTGTCTAATCTCAAAATTTTTTATGAAATTTGAGAAGTTCTACGGTTCGAATTAAGAACTATGCCCAAATGTCGTTTACATCTTTCGAAAGACTGAATCTTTACCTTTAATTTGCTTTTTTGTTGAGTTCTGTACGATTTTTTCACCAAATTATTCAACGTTGATGTAAAAATGACTTTATTTGCTTCAACGTTGAATAATTTAGTAAAAAAAAATCTTACAGAGCTCAACAAAAAAGCAAATTAAAGGTAAAGATTCAATCTTTCGAAAGCTGTAAACGATATTTGTGCATAATTTTTAATTTGTGCCGTGGAACTTCTCAAATTTCGTAAAAAATATTGAGGTTAGACACATCTTCATTTATGTTTGTGTAACTTCATGAAATATCGGTAAGACTATTTTGTGAAGTACCTGACTGAAAAGTAGAGATTTCAAGCTTTAAAAAGCTTTTTTAAACATCTCGCTACGATGCTTTTTCACTAACTTATTGCTATTTGAAAATATTAAAAATTAGTGCTAAAATTTAAGTGGCCCGTTTTTTTGTGTGAGTGTATATAGAGTGTTTGGAAAATAATAATAAATTTTTCGCATAGGAGCAGAATGGAATAAACTGAGGGGAAAAGTCCTCTATGATTTTGCAATTTTCGCAACAAGATATTAATTGTTAAAAATTGTCGAAAAGTGGTCTCCAATAATTTTGCTCAAATACTATCAACTATATAGAAAAACTACAAGAGATAAAAATTGTTAATTTTTTTCTCATAAAACTCAATGAATCTTTTCAGAATTTTTTAATGTCGTATTTTCTCATATTAGGGGAGGAGGGGGAAGATGAAATGGAGGAAGGGGGGAGGGAGTGGAGGAGGAGGAAGAGGAAGAAGAGAAAGTGAGTAAGAATCTTTTTACATTTTTTTTTAAATATCGGCGTTTTTTTGTTCGCGTTACCATATAATACCGCGACGCATTTTGGGATGAGTGCGGAACGGCAGCGACGGTGGCGGCAAAAAAAATACAAAACGCATAGCAGATCGTCATCATGTTTATGTAATCCATCGGCCGGGGTTTTATGTTTACATAAACAGGGATAACCGGGATCTTATGTTTATATAAACAACGATATCACCGATCGGGGACCTGTCCCGCGATAGTCCCCCCCGCGCCAACGTATCCTTCCACACACCCATTATATATATATATATAATACAATTTTAGTTTTTTTTCGTTCTTTTTATCGTGATGTAAAGAGAAAATTTTCATTATTTATTGAATATAAAATATTCTCCATATAAATTTTATACCAAATAGTGGATAACTAAAACAGATATTTTATTATTTTTAAATCATATTTTATTTTATTTTATTTTTAAATCAAATTTCAATTTTCTGCACATTTCGAGGGAATATGAGAAAAACAATATGATTGCAGAAAGTGTTCAATTATCGTGAAGTAATTATATGAGGATTTACGGATCTTTTACAAATTTGAATAAATCTCTCAGAGCGTCATTTCTTTTCTACGTGATTCTACATTCCATATACTAAATAAAACATAAATCAAATTGTGTGTGGAGGCAGTCGGGTCCAAAGAATAATGTTACTGTTTAGTGGGATCCTTATTTCTCAACTCAAATTTTGATTCTCTAGGCTTACTGCAATACGGAAGAATACAGTCGCGAAGATCATCGTTTTTGAAACCTAAATCGGATTTATGCAAACGCGGGTCTTTGTCTACAATTTGCTTCCGGGCTGGCGACGGACGTCTAAGTGAGCAACCCGCTCTTATGTCCCTGCACGTCGTCTTTCTAAGATTGCACAACAGGATAGCCACGGAATTATCAGCCTTGAATTCCCAGTGGAGCGACGAGAAACTTTTTCAAGAAGCACGAAGAATCGTTGGCGCAGTAATCCAACATATAACTTATCGAGAATTTCTGCCGATCATTCTTGGTAAGACAACTTCTGTATTCGAAGATAATATTATCGATATTATTGATAATATTATCTTCGAATACAGCATCATAAAGAATAAAAATTGATAAAGCGTTCTAAAATAAAAGCACTAGTAACGTTCTCCAGGTCCTCAAGTGATGAAAATCTTTGATTTGGAAGTTCATAAAAAAGGTTACTACAAAGGGTACGATCCGACAATAAATCCCACCATTGCAAATTCATTTTCTACAGCGGCTTATCGATTCGGACACTCACTGGTCCAGCGAAGTTTTATTAGATTTGATAGCAATCACAGACCCATTTTTAATAGTAAGTAAAATAATGGTAGATATTAAATATTATATTATTATTAAATGTAAATATTTCAAGTATTATCCTTATATTATTATTGTTTCATATTATAGGAATAAAAAAAAAACATTATTTTTAAAATACTTTAAAGTTTCAGGCAATATATTTTTGATTTCAGAAAAGAATAGTCGTTTCTATTTGTAATTTTATAATGTGATATAAGAAACATAAAGAATCAAAATATACATTTATGTATATGAAGTATATTTTAGAATGCAAGGCATACAAAATAATGAATAAAATTTCATTTTGAAATCTAACACAAATTACAAATCATCTAAGACAGAGCTTGGCAAGATTTGCAACGATCTTCATGACCGATTTTCAACTCGACTCCGCCTCTCGCTATTCCCCTCATCACTCGCCTGTGCGCAGTTCAAATGCCGCTCGGCGTTTAGGAGCGTATAAACTACATATAGACATGAGTTGCACTCGCTTTGGGCGCTCACGCTATAAACTTCATTCTATCTTTTTTTCACACATTATATAATTAAGACAGAATGAAGCAACGTATAAGCGCTCAAAACGAATATCCAATGAACATCCAATGAATTTTCAATAGTTTTCCACGTAACCTTTGAGCTATTGTTGACGCGTTTTTTTTAAATGGTATCCCAGTAGACCTAGTCCACTAATAAAAATGATGAATTGCACGACCAAGTAATTAAACACAAACGAAGTGAAAAATACTTATGCTGATTTTCGGAATCTTTTATTGGCGAGATCAGAAACATCGATTTGCATATCATACATAGCAAGTCGTATAAGATGAGGCAAAGATTCATCGCTCAAGGAAGAACGTCTCCCATTTTCTATAAGTTTCATTTTCGAAAAGGATGTCTCACATAAATATGTAGATCCGAACATGGAATGAATTCGAAGTCCGAAATCACAAAGCTTGGGGTGATGATTCTTTCAATATTTTGTAAAAATCGACATCAGTTTCTTTAGCCGTTTTAAGTGAAATATCGTTCTGCAAATCACATAATTCATCTTGCAAGTCAATTTGCTGTCTTTCAATTGGCGTTGCAAGAGGAAAAGAATTAATTCAGTTCTGAGTTTCTCGAAGCAACTAATCAAGCGACTAATCAAATTCGTCTATAAGAGAATCTAGAAAATATAATATTCTTTGAAATTACTGTGCAGTTACTGTCATGTTCTTCGAGAAGAATTTGGCAAGAAGGAAAAAAGTAAAAAATATTATCATTTAAGTGAGATTTTAATAATTACAATTTTCTTCGGAAAGAATCGTGACTAATTAGGAAATATTTTGGTCCATCCTTTGCAACTTTAAATTAAGAAGTCTAAATTGATAAATTATATCACTAATAAAAGCGAGTTTAGTAAGAAAAGTGACATCTTTCAAAAGAGATATATATTTTGAATTGTTCATTTCTTTCAAGAAAAGGAGAATGTCTTTTCTTTGCAAAAAAAATTTCTATTTTGCAGTACTAAACCAACGAACTGGACAATGAAGCGGGACATCTGTGTAAACAGCTTTATGTTCAGCAAGAAATAATTTAAATTTTCGATGAATAAGGAACTTATATCCACCTTTAATTTCATTAATTATTTTAGTGACAGTTTTCATAGCTATTGAAAGTTTTACAATTTTAAAACATATAAAAAATAATTGCTCTAATTGACCGCAAATACTTTCTTTAAAACTATCACAGCTCTCGCACCATGAGTCGTAATTGAAGAACATTTACCAAAATCCCATCTTCAGTAATTCAATAATATTCTTAAAACGCAGAGTTACATCTATTATAGTTGACATTAAATTCAACAGTCGAGAGTTAAAATTAAATAAACATGTTCTTTTATATGTGAAGATGCTTCATACAGTAATGTTACACCGTCAGTTGTCATATCAAGAAAAGTGTAGAACAAGAATTTCCAGATTCTAAATAAAATTGTATATATTAAAATCTTCTAGTCGGAATATAAAGAAATAGAATCATTACCTGTTTTACAGTAAAAAAACCAAATGATGAATCTCGAGTATTTCTTTTACACAATTAGAATTTTGTCGTGACATTATGTGTTGTTATTTGTCCTATCATATATTTTACACTATTTATATATCTGAGTCAAAAATTTAGAAAGTTCTAGAATTGTTTATTAAAGGAAAGAGACATCCTTCTTTAGAAGAGGAAAATAAACCTCAGGCAAACCTTCCGTGTCACTTTGCTTATTGATACCACTTGTTTGTCTTTTTATATGTATCATTTCCGAAATTCTTGTTTTCACTAAAGATTGTTCTATATCTAAAATTCTTATATTATCCCAATCTAATTCATGCATCTTATTCATACGGTGACGTGAAACCGCAGAAATTTCGGAAGAAGATTTTCTTATATCGGCCTTATGTTCTTTAATCCGAGTTTTTAATTTCCTTTTAGTTTAGCCAACCTAAGACGATTCACAGTTTAAGCAATTAATTTTATAAACTACTCCGCATTGGTCATCCTTAGGCAAAGAATCCTTTCCTGTCTTAATAAATGTATTCAATTTATTCATAGGTTTATAAGCTATATTAAAACCGTACACATGTGAAAGTTTTTTAAATTTTTCCGAAACTTTGCCCAAATATGGTATCGTGAAAAATTTTTTTGAAGTAACATTAGAGTCACATTCATTATTAATTTCTTGACGATTTTGATCTAAATTAGTTCTGTTTTCCAAAGTTTCTATTATTTATTGTCGAAAATATAAACTTTAAAGGATAACCATTACTTAGAAACGTGTGAATTAATTCAGAGATGTTTTTTTCATGAAATTTACGATGGGATAAGAATAGAATTCTATCAAATTGCCCAATAATAACTCCCCTTTTGTGTTCTAACGGATGATTCGAAAAATAATTAAGATATCTCCCAGAATTGGTAGGTTTTTTTATAAATATCGAAGATGATATTTCCTTCCTGTCTCATTAATTTAACATCTAGGAAATGTATACCGTTATCATCGCCAAAGTCCACAGTAAATTTTAGCCTTTCATGATATGAGTTATACAATTCTAGAACTCCTTCAACTTTTTCTTTGTGTATAGCTAATACAACGTCCGAGCTTTCAAGTCCCATAATCATTGGTTTGTCTAGTAAAAAGTCTAGTAGGCCAGCGAGCAACAATGTTTCGATCCATTCAGCATTCACATTAAAACCGATATTCGTTTATGAACTGTAATCACCACATGATTTACGTAATTGTCAATCGAATCACAATTTTCAAGACACTGTAATCAATGTACGGAGGAGACTTTTCCGACTTTTCTAGTTAGACCACTATTATCGAAGGCTTTGCACAAATTGTTCCACACTTCTTGAGCCGTTTCTGCTGTTTGTACGTGTATATAGTTTCGAGAGATAATACTATCTTGGCTCAACTTTTACGCAAAAAATCGGCACGGGCGTCCATGATTGTCACATCATAAGCGATGTATTGTTTCGTGAAAAATCATAATCACATCAAGGCAGATACAATTTGTATCTTCTGTTTTTGCCCTTCAATAATGGAAAAAAACCAAGTATATAAATTTTTGATGAATCTTGGGAATTTAATTACTTTTTTAGTTACATTTCAGATTGGACGATTTATTTACTTTGCGGCTTTCAACCATCGATAGTTAGATAATATTAGGTGTACAAATAAGTTTCCGCCGTTTGACAAAAGACGGCGCCACTAGCAAGCTATGGTTAAAATTGTCTGATGTAAAACATTATATCGTAAGGTTGGACATCTGTCAACAACATAATGTTGAAATACTAGCGATTTTGTAACAACATCATATATTTTTTTTTGTGCGAAAATGCCGAGTTTTGAGCCGAATAAGCGTCATTTGCGGGAATTTTTGATTTACTTCTTTAATTTGAAGAAATCTGCAGCTGAGGCTCATCGATTGCTTGTAGAAGCATATGGTAAGGTTGCCTTAAATGAGAGAAGTTGTCATGAATGGTTTTAAAAATTTAAGAACGGTGAATTTGTCGAAGACAAAGAACGTAGCGGAAGGCCGAAAGTGCACGAAGACGCGGAATTGGAAGCATTATTGAATGAAGATTCGTGCCAAACGCAAAAAGAACTTGCACTTACATTAGGAGCGACTCAACAAGCAATTTCACATCGTTTGAAATCATTGGGAATGATTCAAAAGCAAGGGAATTGTGTTCCATGTGAACTGAAGCCGAGAAACGTTGAACGCCGATTTTCCATATGTGAAATGCTGCTTGTCAAGCATAAACGAAAGGGTTTTTTACATCGTAGTCACTGGTGATGAAAAATGGATCCACTACGATAACCCAAAAGAAGAGGAAATCATGGGGATCACCTGGCCATGCTTCAACATCGACAGCCAAGCCGAATATTCATGGAAAAAGACTCATGTTGTGTATTTGGTGGGATCAGCTTGGTGTATTATGAGTTGCTCAAACCAAATGAAACCGTTACTGGAGCATTCTACCGAACACAATTGATGAGATTGAGCCGAGCACTCAAGAAAAAACGCGCCCACTACTACTCCAGGCATGACAAAATTATTCTCCTGCATGATAATGCTCGACCACATGTTGCGGCGCCGGTCAAAACCTACATGGAAACACTCAATTGGGAAGTTCTACCCCACCCGCCGTATACACCAGACATTGCCCCTTCTGATTACCATCTATTTCAATCGATGGCGCATGGCCTGTCTGAGCAACACTTCACATCATATGAAGATATCAAAAATTGGATCGATAATTGGATAGTCTCAAAAGATGAAGCGTTCTTCCAACGCG